CTAGGATGTGATCAATTCTGGAGAATGTTCCATGGGCACTAGAGAAGAATGTGTATTCCGTTGCTTTGGGATGGAATGTTCTGAATATGTCTGTGAAGTCCATTTGGTCCAGCGTTTCATTTAAAGTCTTTATTTCCTTGTTGATCTTTTGCTTAGATGATCTGTCCATTTCAGTGAAGGGGGTGTTAAAGTCCCCCACTATTATTGTATTGTTGTCAATGTGTTTCTTTGCTTTTGTTATTAATTGCCTTATCTAATTGGCTGCTCCCATGTTAGGGGCATAGATATTTACAATTGTTAGATCTTCTTGTTGGATAGACCCTTTAAGTAGGATATAGTGTCCTTCTTCATCTCTTATTACAGTCTTTGTTTTAAAATCTAATTTGTCTGATATAAGAATTGGCACCCCAGCTTTCTTTTGGTGTCCATTAGCATGGTAAATGGTTTTCCACCCCCTCACTTTCAATCTGGGGGTGTCTTTGGGTCCAAAATGAGTCTCTTGCAGACAGCATATCGATGGGTCTTGTTTTTTAATCCACTCTGATAGCCTGTGTCTTTTGATTGGGGCATTTAGCCCATTTACATTCAGGGTAACTATTGAAAGATATGAATTTAGTGCCACTGTATTGCCTGTAAAGTGACTGTGACTGTATATTGTCTGTGTTCCTTTCTGATCTATGCCGCTTTTAGGCTCTCCCTTTGCTTAGAGGACCCCTTTCAATATTTCTTTTAGGGCTGGTTTTGTGTTTGCAAATTCCTTTAGTTTTTGTTTGTCCTGGCAGCTTTTTATCTCTCCTTCTCTTTTCAATGACAGCCTAGCTGGCTATAGTATTCTTGGCTGCATATTTTTCTCGTTAATGCTCTGAAGATATCATGCCAGTCCTTTCTGGCCTGCTAGGTCGCTGTGGATAGGTCTGTTGCCAATCTAATGTTTCTACCAGTGTAGGTTACATATCTTTTCTCCCGAGCTGCTTTCAGGATTTTCTCTTTGTCTCTGAGACTTGTAAGTTTTACTATTAGATGTCGGGGTATTGACCTATTTTTATTGATTTTGAGAGGGCTTCTCTGTGCCTCCTGGATTTTAATGCCTGTTTCTTTCCCTAACTTAGGGAAGTTCTCTGCTATAATTTGCTCCAATATACCTTCTGCCCCTCTCTCTCTTTCTTCTTCTTCTGGGATCCCAATTATTCTAATGTTGTTTCGTCTTATCGTATTGCTTACCTCTTGCATTCTGCCCTCGGGATCTAGTAGTTATTTATCTCTCTTTTTCTCCACCTCTTTATTTTCCATCATTTGGTCTTCTATATTGCTGATTCTCTCTTCTGCCTCATTTATCCTAGCAGTTAGTGCCCCCATTTTTGATTGTACCTCATTAATAGCCTTTTTGATTTTGACTTGATTAGATTTTAGTTCTTTTATTTCTCCAGAAAGGGTTTCTCTAATAACTTCCATGCTGTTTTCAAGCCCAGCTAGTATCTTAAAGTCATGATTCTGACCTCTAGGTCCGACATCATACTAATGTCCACATTGAGTAGGTCCCTGGCAGACGGTACTACCTCTTGTTCTTTTCGCTGAGGTGATTTTTTCGTCTTGTCATTTTGTCCAGAGGAGACTAGGTGAATGAGAGAACAAAATGCTAACAGGTTAACAACGTCCCCAGCAAATATACTCTATACAAATCAGAAAAGACCTGAAACCAGGGGACAAGAAAGGGAAAGAAAGAAAAAAGAAAGAGAAAAAAAAAAAAAAAGAAAAAGATAAAAACAAACAAAACAAAACAAAAAACAGAATATGATCAAATATGATCAGGCTAGTGCATAGATCAGTGCCAAACACTAAATTTTGGGTGTATTTTGGTCTGTTAGAAGAAAGTGCCTCCTAAAATTTTAAAGGAAGAAAGACATATATGTACAAAATAAGTGTTGATACAATGAAGGGATGGAAGATGACTGTAAAGATGAAAATCATAAAAGGTTTTATAAATGGAATTGATAAGATAAGAAGTTGTTTGAAAGAAGAAAGAAGAAGATTTTAAAAAAAGAAAAAAGGGAGATTCTGTGATTAGGCAGGAGACTAGAACAAAGCCATACACTAGTGATTTAGGGTATATTTTGATCTGTTAGAAGAAACTGTATCTCTAAATTTTAAAGAGAGAAGAACTTATATATAGATGCCAAAAATAAGGGTAACTACTATGAAGGGATAAAATATGACTCTAAAAATGAAAAATAAAAAATATTTTTTTAAAACAAGGGATTGGTAAGATGTTGGTTGAAAAAGGGAAAAAGAAAAATTCAAAAAAAACCCCACAAAAAACAGTTTAAAAAATTAACTTTGAAAAACTAATGAATCATGGTAAAAAAGCCTTGAATTCTATGGGCAGTATTCCCCTAGCGCTGGAGTTCTCCCGTTCTCCTTGATCGGTAAACTTGGTCTTGGCTTGCTGGCTGTTTGTGCTGATCTTCTGGGGGAGGGGCCTGTTGCCGTGGTTACCAAATGTCTTTGCCAGAGGCGGAATTGCCCCGCCTTTGTCAGTCGGGCTAAGCAAGCTGCTTGGGTTTGCTCTCAGAAGCTTTTGTTCCCTGCAAGCTCTCGATACAGCTTTGGAGGACCAGGGTGAAAATGGTGGCCTCCCACTCTCTGCCCATAGGAGCTGAGAACTCGGGGCCCCACCCCTCAGTGCGCCCCCCAGAGAAAAGCAGTCACTCCCGTCTCCCCGGTTTCCGGCCACACTCCGTGCTCACCCAGCCTTTGACCGAGCGTTTCTATCTCTGGCACCTGACTTGGTGTGGAGTCTCCAAACCCATCAGATCCCTGAGGTGCACTCCCACGCCGCTCTTCCCAGGGGAGGAAGGGGAGTCTCCCCTGCTCTGCTGCTTGTTGGGTCCCTGCTGGAGACGCAGTGGCCTGAGTGGGCCACGGATCACAGTTTATGGCCACCCTGTGCTGAGAGCCCGCGCCTCAGCTCCATCTCTGCAGCGGGCTTCCCCGCTCTGATACCTGGGAGCTCTGCTGCACTCAGGCACCCCCGGTCTTTCTGTGACCCCAAGGGTCCTGAGTCCACACTGTCCCGCGAGGTTTCCACCTCCTGCTTAGCCACTGGAGTGACGTCCCTCAGCGGAACCAACTTCCAAAAGTTCCAATTTTGTGCTCCACGGCTCTATCACTTGCCAGAAGCGGCCGACGAAGGCCCCCGCCCCCACCATCCATCCTCCGAAATATCGCCTCGGATTCACTTCTCTGCACGTCCTACCTTCTAGAAAGTGGTCGCTTTTCTGTTCAGAGAGTTGTTGCTATTCTTTTCTTCGATCTCTTGTTGAGTTCGTAGGTGTTCAGAATGGTTTGATCCGTATCCAGCTGAATTCCTGAGACCAGACAAAATCCAGGTCTCCTACTCCTCCGCCATCTTGCTCCGCCCCCCGTATGAGAATTATTTTTAATTTGAGTTCTCACTAGGCACCAGGTACTGGAGGGATAGAGATAAATAAGACATATCTTCTGGTTTATAGAGCTCATAATCCTAATGGGTAGCTGTTGGCAAGATTGAGCTTATCTCTTGGCTAAGCTTTCCACAGATATCATTCCTCCACCCATGCCTGGAGTAGGCATTTTCTGTACATATGATGTACTGTTCCCTGAATTCCAGAGTTATACGACCAACTGCATACCTGGCATCTTCAATAATATCCCAAACTTAGCATGACTGAAATGGAACTTTTGAATCCCCCTTGCAACTTGTTCTTTCTACTGTCTTCCCTGTCTTGGAAAAAGATACCACCAATATCCACTCAGTTGTTCATGCCAAAAACCTATTTTTCACCACTTCCTCTTTGTCTCTTAACACTAGCATCCAATTTATCATCAAGCCCCTCTCTGTTCTACCTTTAATTCATGTATCAAAACTACCCTGTTGTTTCATCTTACCTGCTATTATGCTTGTCCAAGAAACATGATCTCTTTCCTGGACTAGGGCAATTGTTTCTTAATGGATATCCTTGAATTTGTTATCTCTCCTCAGCAACTGGGATGATATTTGAAAGATCGTGTGACTCCCATACGACTCAGGAGCCACTTCTCTCTGGTCTCATCCATCACTGTTCCCCTCACACACTCTCACCAGATGCTCTGGTCTTCTTGTTCTCACCTCCTCCTATTCCTTCTGCCAGAATTCCTCTTCCTTCAGGACACATGGCTGAATTCTTCTCTTCGTGCCTCAGCCCAAATGCAATCCTCTTAGAGAGGCCTTCCCTGACTTCTTTTATCTCATGTAAGTTAGTCCTCATCCCACCTCCCCAGAATAGTAACTCAGTTGACTGACTTGTTTTAGTTCCTTGTGAGCACTGAAATAATATAATCTAGTTATCTGTCCTCCCCATAGAATGTGAGCCTCCTGAGGTCAAAGATATTTCTGTTAACCCAACCCTGCCTGGCACTTGAGAGTGGTGGTGGACATGGAGGTGGTGATGGTAGATATGGTGGTTGTGGTGATGGTGGTGGTTGGTGGTAGTGATGGTGGTTTGGGAATAGTTGTTGGTAGTAGTAGAGGTAGAGGTAGAGATGGTGGTGGTGGAGGTATAGGTGGTGGTTGGTTGGTGATGTTTGGGGTGATAGTAGAAGTGGATGTGGGGGCATTGGTGGGTGTTGATGGTGGTGGGGGTGAGAGGGGTAGCGGTTAGTGGTGGTTGGTGCTGGGGTTGTTGTACTGGTGGTGATGGTGGTTATGAAGATCATGATGGTGGTGGTGGTGGGGAGTGATAGAAGAGTTGGTAAGAAGCATTTTTCAGAGAGAAGGAACATTATTGCAAAGACTCTGAAGTCAGTGACCTTGTAAGTCTTGTTCAGAATTTTTATCTGTTGTTTATTAAAAGAAAACAGTGCTAACTACATCTGTCATGACTACCTCTATTTTCACTAATGCCTTTTGACAATCTGTAAAGTGCCTTCCTCACTCTGGGCCAGTGGTTTGTACTAATCTTCCTGCTTTTTTTTTCTCTCCGTAGTTCCCTTCCCAGTGGCCTGTCAGAAAGATTCATTAGCTGACCTCATGTTCCTAGTGGATGAGTCAGTTGGCACCAGACAAAATTTAAGGTACCTGCAGAATTTCCTCAGGAACATTGCCACCTCCATGGATGTGAGGTACAGCTGCACACGCCTTGGACTTATGAGTTACAGTGATAGAGCCAAGATTATTTCCTTTCTAAATTCAAGCACAACCCAGTATGAATTTCAGGAGCAAATCCAGAAGCTTTTTGTCCAGGCTGGGAAATCCAATGCTGGGGCTGCCATTGAGAAGATGAGGCTAGAAGCCTTCTCAGAGTCAACTGGCAGCAGAAGGGACCAGGGAGTGCCTCAGATCGCAGTCTTGGTCACTCACAGACCATCAACTGATGAAGTGCGCGATGTCGCAATACAGCTTCGGCTGCAGGATGTGACTGTATTTGGCGTGAACATCCAAGGGGCTGACAACACCCAGTTAGAAGAAATAGTGTCTTACCCTCCGAGACAAATGGTTTCCATGCTCAAGTCCTATGCAGACTTGGAAGCTTACAGTAAAAACTTCCAGAAAAAGCTCCACAATGAAATTTGGTCCCAAATTTCTACTCGTGCTGAGCAAATGGACCTTGACAGAACAGGTATGTTTAAAACAAAACAAAACAAAACAAAACAATTTTCTTATTATAAAAGTAATATGAGTAATGGCCTAGAGTAGGGGCAGGAGTGAGGACTGACTGTAATGCATGAGGGAACTTTGGTAGTTAGGGAAATAGTCTAAGACTAGATTTTGGTTTTGGTTGCAGAACTTTATAAATTTACTAAAAATCATCAAATGATTACAAAGGGTGAATTTTTTAGTGTGTAGATCGTACCTCAATAAAATGTAAAAAAGTAATATGTGTGAATTATAAAATAGTTTAATAATATTGATGAACGTGAAGAAAATAAAATAATTTATAAACCTGTCTTTCAGATAAAACCATTTTTAACATTTATTTCTCATGTCTTTTGGTTTCTTCTCTCTCCCTATTACTTATGTACACACACACACACACACACACACACATTTTATTTTTACTTATTTATTGACTTAGGAGGGGGAGGGACAGAGGAACAGGGCAAAAGAGAATCTTAAGTAGGCTCCACGTCCAGTGTGGAGCCAGACTTGGGGTTTGGTCTCATGACCCTGAGCTCATGGCCTGAGCTGAAATCAAGAGTTGAAAGCTTAACCTGCCGAGCCACCCAGGTGCCCACATACACATTTTTAAAAGATGGTATAGCATCAGATGTCTTAGTGCTGCCCAACAGAACTTTCTGTGATTAAATGTTCTCCATTGGCGCTGTCCAGTAAGGCAGTCACTGGCCACATGTGACTATTGAGCACTTGAAATGTGACTAGTGTAACTGAGGCTCTGAATTTTAAATTTAATTTTAATTCAATTTAGTTTTGATAGCCACATGTAGCTGATGGCTATTGTACCGTACAGTGCAGGAATATATAGTTGGGTAATACAAATTACATTTGGATGTGACCAACAGAAATAAAAACAGCAGTTAACCATGAGGATGAAACTATTTTTTTCTGTTTCACAAATAAGTCCTAAGGTAGGTAGACAGAGCTGGTGTGGTATACCACAGTGTCAGGAACCCTGTCTCTCTCTACATTATTTTTTTGCCATTTGTAGTTTTTATTCCCAGGATCATAGTCCAAGATAATTGCTCCTAGTGTCACATTCATATGCAACAAGCAAGAATGATAAAAAAAGAAGGAAGTAGGCAGGCTTCCACCTTTTTCTTCAAAGATATTCCCAGAAATTACACATATCATTTCTGTTTACATCCTGGTGGCCAGAACTTAGTCACATGTCACACCTTTGTAAAAATGGGAGCTGGAAAATGTAGTCTTTATTTAGGGCTGCCAGTATCTTGGTAAAAACTGGGGGTTTAATTAGTGTATTATAGGCGACAATAATATTGGGGATAACCAGTATTATCATCCTTACCCACTTTTCTGTCAACCTTGTATCATGAACTTTCATCCATTTCCTTAAATATTATTTTGCAACATTCTTTTTAAGTTGGCAATAAAATTCCACGGTATGAATGGAATATAATTTGTTTAACATATCCTAAACTGTTGGATACATAGGTCGTTACACGTGTCTTTCCCTTCTAAACATCTTGGATAATATCATCCTTGCACCTATATCTTTATGTACAACCATGAATATTTTTGCACTTTTTGATCTTTTCTATTATGTTTGTCTTCCATCATTCTAGTGAAGATATCCTAGTTAAGATGCACTATGAATCTGCTATAGTTTTACTAAGCTCTTTTCAAAGGTACATATCAAGAGATACTTGATGTGACTTTGTGTTTACCTAATTCTGAGATACCTGTTGTCTTCATACATTTCCTTTGTGGATAAAATGCTTCTGAACAATTGGAACTGGAATTTGGCAGAACTCACATGGAAAAGAATTGTAATCTTCCAATGGTATTAAAGGCCAATTTTAAACTCAGACCCGTCGGTTGAAGGTTTAAGAATTCATCCTGGGCCAGCCCTGGATTTTCTGTGGCATGTATACATTACACACAGGAGCAAGAAACAAGTCCTCTGTTCCCTCCTGAGTGACCTGTGGGGGAATTCCCCAAGGGGCAGCCACCTTGATCTAGTACCAATTATTAGGGCACAGGAGGGATGTGTAGTGTGGTCTCTTTGGAGACTTTACAATCATGTGACAAATAAATTATTATTTTCATTATAGAAATTCTAAATGGGAAGTTATGGGACCAAGGCTAGAGGCAAGGGCCATCCAAGGGGGATAGCTGTTCTTCATAAGGCCTCGGTATGTGGCTTTTTATTAATTCAGTGGCTCTCAAAAATTGGTACCTGACTCAGGTTGGGTTCCTCAAAAGTAGATGCCAGAGAAGGCTTTGTGTGAAATTGATATATTAGAAAATATACCCAGGGAAAACTGGAGATTGGTACTAAAGTGAGGGTTGGGACCAGGAAGGGAAGGATGATAAGCCAAGTCCCATGGAGGTTCAATTCTACAGGGCCATTCTAGAGACAGTGTAGGTTAAACCTTAGAATTGTCCCAGTCAGGGGGCAGTGTATCTAGAGAATTTATATTCCAGCACATGAGAGAATGTACATTTCCAGGCACTTCTTCAAGCCCCAGGCAAAGAAGGCTCTAGCATACTGAGCGCAACCTACCCACAAACAGACACAGGTGTGAGCCCTTAGAATGAGAGTGTTAGGAGCCAATGGGCACAGAAATGGTAGAGTTTGAGGGGATACAGGCTAAGCACCAACCGTATCTGCTGCGAACTTATCAGAGTTTCCTGGGGAGTTTATCACTAATTCATTGGCCCAAGCCCTCCCCAAAACCTAATGAATCAGTCTCAAAGTAGGGCCTGGGCACTTGCATTTTAGTAAGGTCCCTTATAAACTCCTGTTAGCAATGTTTGAGAATCTTGATCTTAGTGAATTTGCCATGGTCTAGAGTATGATGACCAGCTTTGTAGTTTCAGAATGGTCAAACACAGAGAACCAATCTATATTGACTTAGTCACTGTATCCACCACATCTGTCACAGAGTAGGTAGCCAGTTTTTTAAATGAGATTTCATTAAATCAGGAAGAGATTCACATTAATCAAACCAAGAGACTGATGTATAGAAAAAGAGTGGCAGTTATATTTATGACTGTCAGTGCCCAGGGGCCTGGACATACATGTCCTCTGAGAAGTACATTTTCTGCCTATAGGCATGCATACTGAGAAACTAAATTGAAATCAGGATATTGCTGGAGGTTGCAGAATCAGAGCAATGGAATTAGTTCTATGACTGAAATGTCTAGTATCATTCAATTGGGTAGATGACTCTATTTTAAAGTCAAAATATACATCTCTCTCTCTCTATCTCTATCTCTGTATAACTGTATGGGTGAGACCTTTGGGCCAGGTGACACATTCTTCTTCAACATTGTCCAAACATTTTGTGATGATGGCAACATTCTGTATTTACACTGTTGGATACAATAGTCACTAGCTACATGGGGATGTTAATAACTTGAAATGTAGCTAGTGCAACTAAATAGCTGATTTTTGAATTTTATTGAATTTTAAGTAGTTTAAATTTACCTTTTAATAGCAACATGTGACTAGGGGCTAGTGTATTGGACAGCACAGCTCCAAGGGCATGGCCTTGGTTACCCACCGTGACTCACATTTTTTTTCTCCTTCATTGCTGACCACCACTGTATTTATTCTGAAAAAAAACCCTGATTCTTCCTCATTAGGTATATAAATCAATCCATTCTGGTTGCTATTAAGTTTTGCTGGCCTGAGATTAATCCTATCTTTTGCAGATAACTGCTTATCTTTGCCCTAATATTTTATGTATTGATTTCATAGTTTAATTCTCAGGTCCCAACTTATTTCCAGTATTTCTGATGTCTTAAGGACCAACTCCCCATAGCCTGAAGTAGTGTCAATAGCTACAAGTTGCCAAAAAGCTGTCAAGAAAGAAAATATTGTGAAATGACTAAATTATCTTGTATTTTAAAGATCTTTTCACAGACTCAACCAGATAATTGCACAAGTAACCTAAATTTTAAAAGTATGCTCTTTCTCCTACCCAATTTCAGTAATTGATAGAGTTGTAAATAGATAATTATTAAAGTTAAAGCATGTTTTCATAGAATCTACTTAACAAAGGAAGGAATATTGAGATCTCTTTTATTTAAAATTTTTTGTTGAAATCTTGTGATGTACCAGGTATACTAGGTGGAAACAAAGAAGGAGGCAGTTTCTGCCCTCGTGGGGCTGACACTCTGTGGCAGGAAGCAGTCTGTGCTCATGAACAAATGAATAAGATAACTTCAAAAAGTATGGGTATCATAGAGAAAATAAGATAATAGGATAGGCAATGACTGATGTGTTTTAGCTAGAGGGGAAGAGAGGGCCTTTTTGAAGAACTGGCATTTGAGTTGGCATATCCATGATGAGATAAGAAGGAACCAGCTATGTGAATATTTAGGGGGAAGAATATTCCGGAAGAGAGAAGGGCAAGTGCAAAAGCCCTGGGGCACTTTGAATGTATGGAAAGCAGTCCAGCATGGTTGGAGCACAGTGAGTAAGATGAAGAATTGCTAGAAATAGGGTCTGAGAGAAAAGCAGGGAGAAAATTCAGTCCAGTTTTTTATTTTTAAATTCTAAATGCAATGATAAACCACTTAAGTAGAAGAGTAATATGATCTGGTCCTAGTTTTAAATATAGTGTTCTAGTTGCTCCAGGAAGAAGAGGTTATCGGGGAAGTAAGAGCAGTTGGTCTTCTCCTCCATTCTATTTCTCAAGAAATGATAAGGCATAAACTGTCCAAAAAGTCACGTGTCAATACTAGAAAAACAATTTAACTTGCAGCCAGGAGACTTGGGAATCTGGTCCTTCCTTTTAATTAACTGGCTGTGTGACCTGAGACAAAGCACTGGAGGTCACTCTGTTTCAGTGATAGGATCATTGTTGTGAATTTCAAAGGAGAAAATGGGCATGAACAGGTTTGATGAAGCAGACAGACTCTGTGCAAATGATGAAGAATTCTCATTCTCTAGAACCTTCATGGTCTCATGTTCCTCTATAGACCCTCTTGCAAAGTTCTCCCCAGAGTCTCTGTAATTAACAAAGAATGCATTTTCCACTTCCTTTTTTTTTTTTTTTTTTTTGCAGGCTGTATAGATACAAAAGAGGCTGATATCTATTTCCTCATTGATGGCTCAACCAGCATACAGAGAAAACACTTTGAGCAAATCAAGGAATTTATGTTGGCTGTGACAGGAATGTTCAGCATTGGCCCAGACCAAGTCCAAGTTGGAGCTGTGCAGTATTCACATAAGATGAGAGTGGAGATTTATATCAGTGACAGTTCTAATTATGTGAACTTAAGAAATGCTATTTTGAACATTGAGCAACTCCAAGGCAACACCCATACCGGGGAGGCCCTGGATTTCATGCTGTCAAGAATAAAAGAGGATAGGAAGCGTAGGACAAGCAAGGTTCCCTGTTACCTCATTGTGCTGACTGATGGGAGGTCCACCGATGAAGTCCTGGAGCCTGCTGAGAGATTAAGGGCTGAGCAAGTCACCATTCATGCTGTTGGCATTGGGGAGGCTAACAAAGCACAACTCCAACAAATTGCTGGGGAAGAAGAAAGGGTTAGCTTTGGGCAGAACTTTGATTCTTTAAAAAGCATAAAAAATGAAGTTGTTCAAAGAATTTGCACTGAAAAAGGTAAGCAAAACAAAAAAGTACAGAGAATACTCTGTACTTCATTAGGTACTTTGGGCAGACTAATAGCTGGGCTGAGACAAGAAGTGATGTGACCAGTTGTCTGGTTAACATTTTGCTAACTTCCTTTATCACCAGGGAGGGATTCAGCACCTTTAAACCAATTGCCAATATTGGAAAATCCCTCTGTAGACAGATGCCCTGAGGCCATCTTGAAAGTCATAAGTAGGAAGGTTGCTGAGAATATTGTGGCCTTGCCAAAGCCCACTGGTGTGGCGTGTAAGAGACTCTCTCCTGTGTGTGCACGTGTGTGCATGTGCGTGTATGTGAATGTGTATGTGCATGTGCTAGTTAAAACAGATGAGCACAGTGGAAAGAAAATGGGCTCTGGCTTTAGGATCCAACTCACTTTCCTACCTGACCCTCAAACTTCCTCATCTACTAAGCAAGGGTAACACCTACATCATAGGATCCTTATAGGTTTAGCATAACACACATCAACCATCATTTCTCTATTATGAATGCATATCTAGTACACATATAACAATTGCTTATTTCTATTTGTAACAGAAACACATATTTGCATTTTCATTCTGACTAAAACTCATGTAACAAAAGTTAGGAAGAACAATTTGCAAATTCCTCTACCTGATTGTGATTTCTTTTATTAGTAATAGCCACTTACTAATTAAAGATGATATGTGTTGATTGCTAGTATTAGCACATGAAAATTTCATGTGCTGAGGCATGTTAACTTATTGGTTAAGATAAAGGATGCTGGAGTCAATGAGTCAAAGTTCAAACCCCAACCTTATTAGCTGTGGACCTCGAACGGGTTACATACTGTCTACCTGCCTTCATCCCTGTGTGCAGGCCTAGTGAAGCTTGAAGGTGATAATGCATGTGGAACACTTAAAATAATGCACGTGGGCACCTAGTAACTGCCACATAAAAAGAAGCTATGGTAGAAGTTGGTTAATGTATTCACTGATGAGAAAAATAAAAGAATTTTCACTTATTTGAACTTACAAAAGTGAAAAAGTTTTGGGATTTTCTGAGTCACTAAAATAAAAAACTAGATAAGCAATGCAACTAATGAATCATTGAATATTACATCAAAAACTAATGATGTACTGTATGTTCGTAACTGAACATAATAAAAAAAGGCAAAAAACAAAAAAAAAAGAACAAAAAAGAAAAATGGATAAGCAAATAAGTGGAGCTCACAGCAAAATCCCAAATCACAATATTGTTCATTATTCTCCCCATTATGGACAGTAGTTGGGTCTAGAAAAAGTACAAGAGTAAAAGTTCCCCAACGTTTCCTGGGGTTGATGCAAAGAAAAGTAAAAGGGTTCCAGGAAACAGAAAACAGATTGTATCTCAATCTTTCAAGGGAGACGGGCCTGGGCCAGTGTGAGGAGGTGCAGTTCATCTCCTGTGGGTCAGGTAGTTGCAGTGCAGGTGCCTGAGCACTGCACACCTGAGAGGAGGCAAGCTATGGATAAGGAAATGAGCCATAAGATGGTGAACAGAGGCAAGGAAACTAAGGAACCAAAGCCTGAGGACCTAGAAAAACACTGACTAGTCTCAGAGCAGATGCACATGGAGTGAGACACAGTGTATTTATTGTTTAGGGGGCAAGAAAAGGGGCTGTAACAAAAAGACCCCAAACTACACAATGAAGGGTATTATTTCTCTTTTGTATAATGGTCCAGGGTGACTAGTACAGGTCTAGCAGAGAGGCTATTCTGTGCTCAACACATAGCTCCCATCTTTAGGTCAAAAGTGAAGCTCTGGTTCTCTTCACCTTGCATTTGTGGAAAGGGAGAAAGGGCCATATGAGCCCACTACACTCAATTGTTTTAATGTTAAGATCCAGAAGTGGGCAAGTCACTTCTGCTCATATCTATTGACCAAAACTTAGTCACAGGCCCATGTGTAGCTTCAAGGAAGGCTAGGAAATACGGTCTTTTCCTGGGCAGTCATCTGTCTAGTTGAAACTACATTGACATGGAGGGATGGGAGACCGGATATTAGAGGAGGGGAAGCAGTCTTGTCACAAACAGATATAAGGAGGTAGACCTTGTGAATACTAAACCACATGTAAAAGTCTACTCCTTTCCATATGTTTCATGGAAGGGAGGCTTCCACACTTCACAGCAGTGGGGCCTTGCCAAGGCCACAAAGATACTTAGTGACCTCTCTATTGATGACTTTCAAGATGGCCCCAGGCAGCTTGGATCTTAAATGGTGGTTTTAATGTTCCCTGGTGGGCCTTACATAAATCATTAAAAAATAATAAGCATTGTTTTATTCTTCTTTGACTAATACTAATTGTTTATTTTCAAATAGTATGGGATAGACTCTGTGAGTGTTGAGGGAAGGACCGCTAAGAGAATGGCAGTGACAGCAGGTAGGCCAAAGAGATAAAACTAAAGAGATACCTGCTAATGACAATATATTTACATATTATATATAGAGAGATAGATAGATGTACTCACACATACCTGTACAATGAATTAGTAACACTGGATTTTTTCTATGGCTTATAGAAATTGGTCTTTGATGTGTACATCCATGTACATACACATATATATGTATACAAAAATATGTCCATTTCCAGTCAGTAGCATATCTACAAATTTTATATATAAATAAAGTAATAGTCCATGCTGAATGGATATGTGCTTACTAATGCACTTATTATCTCTAGTAATAAAGTTTCTCATCCCAATTTTTAATATTGATTTATAATGTTTATCAAATCACTTTAAATTATCCAAGAAAATAATGGCATATAGAGATTGCTTAGAATTTTGTGTTTCTACATTGTATATAAAACCCTGAAATATTAGTCCCATGAGTGTAGGGAACTGATTGCTTTTTCTCGGATTCCTTTTTTTGATCATCATTGCATCCTTTAACACATAACCTGATACTTGGCATTTCATACACCTCAAGAATTATGAATAAATGAATTACAGACAAATGAACGATGCATAAATGAATATATGCTTTGGAGTTGCATTTCCTCTTTAAAACTTCTTGGATTTGGTGGATTTCTGATTCAGGGTTGTAGTCAGCAGGACTCTACTACAGCAGCAGATAAAATTTTCAAATGCGGTAGCAGGTGCTTGAGTTAATTTCTGATGTTTTCTGACTAATGCATTTATTTCTGTCTTATTGTTTCTCTATATTCTGAAAATCATGTCAACCTGCCTCATTTCTGGTCTTTTTGACAACATGCAGGATGTGAAGACATGAAGGCTGACATCATGTTTCTGGTGGACAGTTCTGGCAGTATAGGACATGAAAATTTTGGAAAAATGAAAACCTTCATGAAAAACCTATTAGCTAAGATTCAGATTGGTCCAGACAGAACTCATATTGGTGTCATTCAGTTCAGTGATAAAACTCAGGAAGAATTCCAGCTTAATAAATACTTTACACAAAACGAAATTTCTGATTCAATAGACAGAATGTCTCTCATCAACGAAAACACTTTGACTGGAAATGCACTAACTTCTGTAGATCAATACTTCACCCCTGCCAAGGGGGGCCGTGTTATGGTCAAAAAGTTTCTTATCCTCATCACGGATGGAGAAGCACAAGATCCTGTGAGAGAGCCTGCTAAAGCTCTTCGGGACAAAGGTGTGGTCATCTTCTCTGTGGGGGTGTTTGGCGCCAATAGGACGCAGCTGGAGGAGATCAGTGGGGATGGCAACCTGGTCTTCCACGTTGAGAACTTTGATGATCTAAAGACAATAGAAAGCAAACTCATTTTTCGTGTATGTGCTCTCCATGGTAAGTGACACTGTTATCCTTCAGGATGCTGGGATGTTAGCTGTTGACTTCATAGGGTGAACAGTGGGTTGTACCATGGGCTTGGACTCTATCTGGACTTTGGTGTTAAGTTTTGGTCTTATTTATGTTGTATTAGAACACCTGTGACCTCCAGGGATATTCCAGTTTAACAATCTTGTCAGCTAGTTTGGCAACAGAGCAGTCTGGCTGTGGAGACTTCAAATCTATTCCAAAAAGTTCTCAGAATTTTCCATTGAACTTAAAACTCTTCACTACCTGCATACCTAGATTTTCCAGAAGAAAATTTTAATCCCAAATGATTCCCCAGAATTGTTTCTTGCCTACCTGTAATCATTGTCAAATAGTAAATAACTAGAAATACAAATTCATCTTCCTTTTAGTTAAATCAAATCCAATCTCCTAAGCATACCCTCCCCCCAAAAATCCTCTTTATTTTAAAGATATAGTGTGTATTTTCATTCCTTCACCTTATTTTTCTCCGCCTCTATCAGTGAGGTATTTTACATTTGCCTGTTCGTGTATCTATCCCTTTGGAAAATTTTAATTTGTTACTTTTTAAAAATGATTGCTCAGGATCATCATTTTTATCTCACACAAACTGTAGTGCTTTTCAGGTTGTGTCAAGCAAATCTTTAGTTTGAGTCCATCAACTTTAATGGTTCTTGGATAAGAACTTGCTATAAATCCACACATAAGACTAAAAACACCTGTGCTTTTAAACCTACCACGGACCGTTATCTGTGTTTTGGATACAACAAAGAGAAAACACTGAAGTGTTGGTAAATTTGTTGTATGTTGTTCCCCTGGCAGCATAGAGACTTCCCTTGGACTATATTATTCAGAATTCTGTGTGAGAAATTTTCACAAAGTTAACAAACAAAATGTCTTAGTGTAAACTCTGAGTTTTAGGCAGTGGCACTGCAATTTCTCTCATAACAGCTTAGTCTAAATGGCAATGATCCTCAAACTCTTGGTAATGTTGAGACATTCTAAGACAGGTTGGCCTTAAGGCCACATCCCCACCTTTGAAATCCATGGAGCTCTTCCTGGTATTTCTTCATTTTGATAAACAACGTTTGTGGAGCATAAGATGAAATTTCAACTGACTCACACATCAAATTGACTCATAAACATCAAGTCATGTCATTGCCCCAGGTTCCTATGGATATAGTATGGGCTCATCCATAGCATCTTAGACTTAAGAATTTGAGACCTCATTGCCAGAAATAAGGATTGGAGTTACCATATGCGGGTAGAAAATGGAGAAAGTGAAATTGTGGAAGGCATATGGTTAAGTTACATGGGGAAGAGGGAAGGGAAAGAGGGGAGAGAAACCCCACCCTTTGGAGACCTGTCCAGAGTACTCACTTGACTTCCAATGAAGAGGAGATCTTGGGGCTGCGGGGAAGTGATAGGGCCTTAGCTCTCCCAACTACTTGGGGCCTTTCTGGGTTCTAATTCAGGAGGTGAGGGGAAGGAGCACAAATGAATGCAAAGAGGCGTGGTGCACATGGGACAGTTTGTCTAGAAGAAGCTGAAAAGACAGCTGCAGCCAGAGGGAGCAGGACAAAAATCCCAGCTGATACAGAAAGCCTCTGTGCTCTTTAAAAGTGCGGGCCAGTTTGGCAAACATCAGTCATATCTCACCATTATATTGATACTGAACTACCTTCTGATGTTTCCATTCAGTTGAAAGTCTGCCTAGCAAAACACATCACATGTCCTAATGAGATATAGCAGAACAGAGTGGTGTGGCTTAAGAATCACCCATTGCAGAGTCACTGTCAAGTACAATGTCTGCAGAATCATGGTCTGGGCAAGATGTACATCACTGAACCTCAGTTTCTTACTCTGTAAAATGGCAGCAGCCACCTCTAACAAGTGAGATGCAGTGTCTGGCACATAGTAGGTTCATGGCAGAGGTTAGTTTTTTCTCCCTTCTCAGCTTTCTGTGTAGAATACACTGGAGAAAGATTGTGATGCCTGCTTTCTTCTTCTTTCAGATTGTAAAAATATTAAAGTGTTGGACATTGTGTTTGTGCTGGATCATTCAGGCAGCATAAACACACAAGAGCAAGAAAGCATGATGGATCTAACTATCCATTTGGTGAAGAAAGCAGATGTTGGCAGCGACCGAGTTCGGATTGGAGCTCTCAAATACTCGGACTATCCTGAGGTTCTTTTCCACCTTAGGAAATACTCAAACAGATCCGCAGTCATTGAGCACCTGAGGAGGCGCAGGAACACCGGAGGGAATACCTTTACTGCCAGGGCCCTTGATTACACAAACATAATGTTCACGGAGGAATATGGCAGCCGCATCCATCAAAATGTGAAGCAGATGCTGATCATCATCACCGATGGGGTGTCCCGTGACCGAAATCTGCTCAATGAGACAGCACTGAAATTAAGAAACAAAGGCATTGATATCTACGCAGTGGGTGTAGGACAGGCCGACCAACTTGAACTTGAGGCTATGGCAGGGAGTAAAAACAATACATTCCATGTAGATAATTTCAACAAACTGAAAGATATTTACCCGCCTCTACAAGAAAAAATGTGTAGCAATGCACATGAGTGTAAGTTGTGATTTTCAGATCATATTCACCTTACCCCATTTCAGAACCTCTTGTGCCATTCCATTAATGGTCTCAGTGCAACCACTGAGCACCAGTTGCAGGCCAGACTCAGGGTTGCATGATTTGACAGAGAGACTTTTGTCCTCAAAGATCTAGGGCTGTCTAAATGGGATTATAGGCATTCTCTAGGGCCATAGGAAGTTGAAGTAGTCTAATGTGCTTTTCTAGATAAGAGCCACTAATACAGACAGAAGGATATGGGAGTTCAATATGGAGTAGTAGAGGCTGGTGGGTAGGAACAGGGAGGGAAGGGACCTAAGCTGGTTCCATGAGATACCACTGGGGTAGGGTAGGCTGCAGGTATCACACTTGAGGAAAGTGTAAGATTTGCCACTTGAGCTCAAAGTGAGCAACGAATTCATCTCCTTGGTTTCAGATACTAGATGATGGTATTATCTTTAAAAAAAATTGTGACTTTTCCCAAGGCAGCAGGACCTTCTCAATTCTGCCTGTTCTAGCCTGCCCCCGGACTTCCACCCTGAAATTTGGTCTCCTTGCCCTTAGTCGTGCCACCTTCCATTCCATTCTGAACACTGAGTGATATTCCTAACACACACTGGACTATTCACTGCTCTGCTTACAGTTTACAATTTCTGAATTCCTGAGTTCCATCTAGTCTTGCCCACATCGCCAACCTCATCTGTTTCTGCTCCCCACTTCACAATCTCTCCTGTCAATCTGAAATACCTCTGTAGCTTTGTACACAGCATTCTATCCACGATGAACACACCAGGCCATATTCCCTCACTACGTCTAGTTTGTCATGTTTCAACATTTATTTGCCAGTTTCCTGACCCAATACCTGACAATGATCCCAGTGTGTCTCCCAGATTCTGCACCTTCTATTTATCCTGGTGGTAGCACTGAACACATATTTGCTATTTCTTTATCTTTATCTGTCACAAAACTGACTTCCTTGGGCAGGCTTGGCCTCCTGTTTATCATTGGGTCCCCACCAAATCTAGTACACCACCAGGACTATAGTCTTTTCCTACAAAGATGGAGTCTGTTCTATTCTCATCTCCCATGCCTACCTTTTGGAGGTAGATACTGAGGCAGAGTCTAGGATGCATGGTGTTTATTAGGGATCCACACCTTGTGAAGGAAAGTGGGAAAGTAGGATGGGCAGAAGAAGTTGCACAGTGAGGCATGCTTGACAAAGTTCCAAACCAGGCAAAGAGCTCTGGAGTGTGTATTGCCCATTGGTGTTGTCCAGCATCAGACTAAGATGACTGGGTGGTTATGTCCCCTTCCCACTTAGTCCCCAGATGTGGGCTGCCCTGGGAAGGGCATGGTCTTTTGCAAGACTTCTCTCTGCAGTGAGGCTGACCCTGAAGGAGCTGACAGCCAGAGGCCCTCTGTTGACCACACTCCCGCAGCTGGGCAGGAAATCCTTCCTCGAAGATCTATCTGGGCAGTCCATCTTTGTGTCTACCAGACTACCCTTAGAAAGAACTGTGTGGCAGCTGGCATTCTTTTGTCTCAATTGTCTTTAGTAATCACTTTAGTGCTGCCCCTGTCTCAGCCACTGCATTTGATTGAACTGAGGGTAGAATATTATCCCTGGGTTATGGGACATTTCACATTGGATTTCAGGGAGATGACCCTTTGCCCTGTTCACTAGCCATTAGCACTTGTCCCATTACATTCTTTTTCTTTAAAATTTTTATTATGTTAATCACCATACATTACATCATTAGTTTTTGCTATAGTGTTCCATGATTCATTGTTTGTGCATAAAACCCAGTGCTCCATGCAGAACGTGCCCTCTTTAATACCCATCACCAGGCTAACCCACCTTCCTACCCTCCTCCCCTCTAGAACCCTCAGTTTGTTTTTCAGAGTCTATTGTCTTTCATGGTTCATCTCCCCCTCCAGATCCCCCCCCATTCTTCCCCTCCTATCTTCTTCCCTTTTTTTTTCTTAACATATATTGCATTATTTGTTTCAGAGGTACAGATCTGTGATTCAACAGTCTTGCACAATTCACAGTACTCACCATAGCACATACCCTCCCCAATGTCTATCACCCAGCCACCCCAGCCCTCCCACCCCACCCCCACTCCAGCAACCCTTAGTTTCTTTCCTGAGATTAAGAATTCCTCATATCAGTGAGATCATATGATACATGTCTTTCTCTGATTGACTTATTTCACTCAGCATAACACCCTCCAGTTCCAGCCACATTGTTGCAAATGGCAAGATCTCATTCCTTTTGATGGCTGCATAATATTCCATTATAT